CTAATAACCGTTCTTTTCTTTTCTTTTTAGGTCTCGGGTGTCTCAGGTGTCTTCTGAAGAACGGAAAAAACCAAAGATTCGTAAGTAAGTACGAATCTTGGTTTTTTTTCTTATTTTTTTTTAATATTATGAACGGTTACTAACCGTTCTTCTCTTTTTTTTATAGGTTCGGTTGGATTGCTAAAGAACAATCAAAGATTCGTATATACGAATACATGAATCATGTAATTGTGGAATTGTATTTGAATTAGCAATATTTTTTGTAAATTAGATAGATGTAATAATAATAATATAATTATAAAGTATTTAAGCATTAATAAATACATTTATTTAATAAATTTGATAAAAAAAATCAAAATAAATTCATAAATAAATGGGTTGTTATTAGACCATAATTCGGCTTAAAGTTTTAAGGTTGAATATTGGTCAATTTAAACCTAAATAATGGTCGAATAATTAGTCCGAATTTGGGACGATTAGCACCCTAAATGCGCCCGAAAATTTGACCTCAATTTGACACAGGTTAGACCATTATTCGACCTATATTCGACCTGGTCAAATTTAGGCCGAATTGTCCTTTTTCGACTAGTGTTAACAATAAAGACTTTGTGGATTTTCTCTACAACAACTTTTTATATACCAACAGGCCTTCCATCTTCAAGATATTGGAACAAGCTATCAAGAAGCACGAGACAGCTCTACAACAACTCAAACACCATACATGAGACTATCTCTGAGAGACTTTAACTAGCCTACTCGAACGATATGACCAATATACACCTTTACTTTCTTCTACACGGCTACACCTCCTTCGACACCTATTGTTTACAAACACCCGCCAGCTTTTCCTATTCGTCAAGTCATAAGACTCCCGATTAGAATGCCCTCAAATGAATTTTGGATTAGATCGTGTCATAAACTAGACGCGTTTCTAGATATATTCCACAATTTGCCAGCTCACCTACGAATAACAACAAATGACTCAGAAGAAAACTTCCATTTTGGGAATACTTACAGAACGGATAACCACTTTTGGAATTTTACCAGCTTTTTCAGTGTAACGCTTGGTCCATCCTTTTACCGATATTGTGGAACTAACCAAATACGGTTTCTCTTTAAACAACCCTCGATAAAAGCTTTAGACCTCACCTTCAACTGTGCCTACACACCCCAGAAGAAGAAGGATAGAGACAAAACTTGGCTAGACGAATTCCAGACTCATTTTCTTTTTTCTTTTTTTTTTTTTTTACTTTTTGTTTTTCAATTTTTTTTAGTTTACTTTTTCGAATTAGTATTAGTTTTAGTTTTCATTTGAACAAATTTAATTTGGATAGAGCTTACTTGGGATGGTTGACTGGAGTTAATCTTGGTTGGCAGATAACAGTGTCCCTGAACCTATGCCGTGATAATGGACATCTGATGTTAGAATCCGCCTTTATATACGACAAGCAACTTTCTATCAGTAAATGGGACCTCACACTAGTCGAACTAAAGTATTGGAAATGTGTCATTTTCACTGCAGCTGGCCAGTCCTGGTTTAATCGTGTGTACCTTGGACCCTATGGCTTGGATAATGGATGCCACTCATTTTCAATTTCTTCAGGCCGCTTCTAGGAGGAACGATCTGAAGGATATTTTTTAATTTTTACTTTCTCTTACTTACATTTAAAAGGTTTTTTTTTTCTTTTTATTCGCAATGTAGTGGGTCCTGTGAATGCCTTGTGAAGAAAGAGGGGCATTTATGCTAAGAATGACCGTTTGAAAACGAATTATACCCTCTGAATAAAAATTTCACCTGACAGTGCACACGTGGGGTGCTTTCATGCATGACGAATGGTTTGGTAGTTAATAATATTAGATAGTGTAGATTTAGTTTTTGTCATAATTGTATTCTCTGAATCTTGTTTCCTGTTTAATAAACTATCAAATGCANAAAAAAAAAAAAAAAAAAAAAAAAAATAATAATGATTATAATAAAATTAAAATATAAATAAAAGGTAACCATTCAAATAATATAAATAAAATGGGAGTCCTATTCCATTCTATTTCATTCCAAATTCCAAATTCCAAATTCCATTTCCATTTCAATCCTAAATCCCAATTCCAATCCCATTTCAAATTCCAAATCTCATTCTTAATATATAAATTTTTTTTATTTGTCATATCTTATAATTTCAACCAAATTTTATAATTCCGGCCTAAATTTCCTTTTATGCACTTGAGTAACGTTATACAATCCAAAAAGGCAATTTTGTTTCTCATTAAAAACGGAAGTTTGTTACACAATGATCCAAAATATGTCGATCACTTAATTCCGGCCAAAATTAAAAAATCCTGTGACACCAGCTATCGTTGCCAGCAAACTCCTTTTTTTAAAATAAAATTTTTTCAAATATAATACTCTTTAAAAAGATTTATTTTTTAATATATTTTATTATCTGTTATAGAATATTTATGAAAATTATTATAAATATAAAAAGAACAACATCCGCGGTAATAATAGAAGATATCATATGTTAATTAGTGTTACACTTATACTAAAAATTTGATCCGTCCAATTATAAAATTTAAAATTTTCTTCTCATAATGAACATTATTTATACATTTAAGAACTAATAGAACAAATTAATAATTTGTATCACTCTTTATTAGAAAACGTTGTACGATAGACTTTACCATTAGTTTCATTCTTTGCTGTTGCGACAATTTCCATAGCACCGAAACATAACGTTATTAACACTGGACGATCCGTACCCAAGTAAGTATCGGGCAAATCAACATTGAAACTACCCAATAAGTTCATCTCAGGCTCATCGCAATATTCTGCATCATATTTGGAAGTATAGAAGAAAGATACATCTGCGGAGGTTTGTTCAGGATAAGTTGGATATAAGCGTGTAGAAAATTCCTCGTCCACGCGCACTTCTGTCCCTTTACTGGCCATCAAAGAAAATTTTAGGATTCGATTTTCTGATGTCTTGCGATTTAGTGGGTCACCATATTTCTAATATTTGAGAAAAGTTTTAGTTTTTACTTGGGATAATATTGACTTTACTATTACCCTGTAAAAAAAGTCGATCCGTTTTTTTATATTCCATATTTTTTTCCGTAAAAAGCTCATATTTCCGGAATTAATAATCTTATATCACGGAATTTATCTCGTTTTCCGTGAATGGATCCGCGAAAGGCTCATTTTCACGGAGTTCTTACAGAAATAACGGATAAAATTTTTATAGGGTTATTTAGTTAAATGACACTTACCCATTCAGAACTAATTCGAACTCCATATGTCCACTTTAATACTCTTGTAGTTACGGTATCCATATCAAGCCCATATTCACATGCACCGCTTACAATCGCAGCAAGTGGATGAGGTGGAACTGTAATAAACGAAATATCATTGATTTGTATTCGACTTTTTTTTCAATAAAATACAATAATCAACGAACATACCTGCTATGCTAATATTATGACCAAATTTTTGTTTAATTCTATTTTGAAGATATCGTGATTCACTAAAACCTCCAACCAAAAACATCACCGAACAATTCGAACATTTTTCTAACTGTTGTTCAATCAACCCCAAAATCTTGTTGATAACTGGGTCAAAGAATGATTTTACGGTTCTAAAATTGAGATCAATGACCCAATCATCTTCTGATAATTGATCCCTTTCCGACCCGGTAACATATTTCTTAAGAGCAGGACATTTCCTATCAATATCCCATTCAATAGTTTCGAAATCGGATTTTTCGCCGGTGAATGGAATTTTAACTTGGGAACAGAATTGTTGCATCATATAATTGATTTGGCCATAGTTTTTTTCCTTTAGCATATTCATCGCGGATTTTCCTACTACATTCCCAAGATATTTTAAAAACTCATCATCAACGTAGGTACCACCGCAAAAATCACCTGACCGCTCAGTTGTCTCTCCTATTCGATCAGTTGATAATAGTTTTCTAACGGTCAAATCCACAGTTCCTCCACCACAATCGACAACCAAATATGTCGCTAATTTAGATCAAATGAACGATTTATTATTTATAAAGGTTTATAATGTTATCTAAATAGTCAAAGTGATTCATTGGCATAATGTGTACCTCCGGTTGTTAATCTATGTTCTTTCATCACATTCATACAATGAATCGCAGCGGCTTCCGCTAAGAATTTTAAATCAAGTGTTATTAGTTTTATTTATATACATTATAAGCAACGCCGCAGTAGTATTTCAAAATGACTTCTTACGTTCAGTGGTAAATTGAAGATTTAGTGTACCAAGACTTTTGGTCAAGCCGGCATCGTATAAACATCGTCTCATAATTGTCTTTGTATCTTCAGTAAACTCTAAAACGATAATTTTATAAATGCTGATATTATGTATATTTTACAATATAATAACTAGTTACCGGCAGGTACAGTGACGACGATTCGCACGTTACTGTAAAAATCAACTCCAGGCCAGCGACGACCGATTTCTTGCTTAATCGTCTATCAAACCATAAACTCGAATTTATCTTATACTTAAAGCAATATACATTTTATCATCTTACCTTTCCTAAAGAAAAAAATCAATAATTTTATCTTGTAATTAATTTCAAAGGCTTTTATAATATTAAAAGTCATGACTTCAACAATCTACATACCCATTTCACGAAGATAATCGGTTATTGCTCTTTCAGGAGTAATGTTGTCTGGCAATTTGGGTTTTTTACTATCCGGAACTCTTCCCAAGTGAAATTTAAACAATTCCACCGGTTTTGGTAAATCCTTATTTTTTTTATTTCTTTTGGGAGGTTCACCAGCTAACGCTTTAGCTCCCCATGCGGTAACAGAACTATAGTCTTCGTCATATTGTAATACGGTATTGATTTTCTTAAAACCTTTAATTCCTGGCCAATCATCGTTCACTACAATCTCTATTTTTGCTTTATCGGGCTTAGCGTAAGCGTAAGAAAACCCCTGAGAAAGAAAAGAGATAAGAAGTCTAATTAAAGGTATAAAAATGAAAAAATGAAAATAAAAAATAGTATGTAAACTTACCGAAAATGTTGTTCCAAAATCTAAAGAATTTAAATGAAAAACAAATGTAGTCTTATTGAAAAAAAAAGGTAATAAATTAACAAATATGCTCACCTATTCCAACAACAACTCGTATATCCTCAATTACGGCAGGTTCGAACTCGAATAAATAAATTTGGCTTTGAACGTAAGTAAATTCCATGATAGTGAAACGCAATAAACACAATATTAACTGAAAAATAAACGCTTATATACACATAAAGGAAAACCTATTCCGTAAATTTTACCGAAAACAAATGCGAGTGCACCAAACATTGTAACAAATAATCTTTCATAAATTACAAATTATAAGGATTACTAATTTGTGTTCGTTTTGCGATATATAATACTCACGAAAGAAAGATATAATATTATCAATATCAAATCTGATCTATTCCTTTTAATGACAAAGACCGAAAACACGCGAGTGCACCAAACACTGACAATTAACTTTCTATAAGTGGCGAACAGCATTCATCTTTTTTTTATTAATTTATGAAACATTTATTTTTTGTTCTGCGACATGATACAGCATACATGTGGAATATTATCGTACTAATATCAAACCGGATCTAATTCCTTTTTATGATGAAGAAAAAGTCAATAAATTTTCTGTCACATAATTTGTACTAGCGTGATAACTTTGAAAGTTTTTCTGGTGTTTCATGATGTTAGACAACTTTACTTTTTAAAGAAAAAGGGAATAAAAGAATCTTACTTTTTAATTTAATTTATTTATATAATAGTATGATAAAAGAAATAACGAATATTAGATAATAAAAAGTAACAATAAAGCTAGTTTATATTTTCCTAGGGATCATTCGCAACAATTTGCGCCGGAAACATCATTTTCGCATCTTCAGCACTATTAAGATTAGATCCAATCAACGGAAACGCACAGATATCAACAGATAAATATTCGTCTTTATCCCAAGGTCCGTCCATAGTCAATGTATTGATTTCTGTATCTTTAGGAAACCATTTCCATTCGGCGGTAGGTTCTTGTACTTTTAATCTGAAAAAAAATATATTAACGACTTGCCTAATAATATCGTTTATCATCTTTTCATGTTTTGCCAATTTTTCCTGATCTTTAATTTTACGATAACGATTCATTAAATCTAAAATTTCTTTTCGTAATTTTTCAACAAGTGGATGCTCTTTACCATCACTTTCATCTAAAACGGTGTTGGAAAAACCACGGTTTCCAAGAATACCATAAATTTGCTGACGTAATTTAGTTGAAGTAGATTTGCTAATTTTATCATTTCCGGTACGAATTGTTGAAAATGAATTTATCATCTCTAACAGTAGGTCCGTTGTTTTTACAATTTTCGCTTCCAAATTTTGTTGCTGTCTTTTGTCACCTTGTTCGTCGACTTCTTTGTTGTCTTTATCGTTCTCTTCATGATTAAAATATTCTTCGGCTTTTTTAATGATAATCTCAATTATGCAACGTTCTAGCGCGCCCGAAATCAAATTTTTATTTTCCTTTATTGCGCCTTTTATTGAACAATCATAATTTTTCAAGAAGTTATCTATTTCTTTCTGGTCATTTATTATTTCAATTCCTTTTTTCAGTTCGCAAAATTTTTCTAAATTGTGATGTAAATTACCAATATCTTTTGACAATTTACTGGCTGTATCAGAATCTTGATTCCCTAGATGAAAACTTGTCGCGTCACCTAAAGCTGATTGATATTCGGAAGCTTCTTTCTTTAAATTGTCATTATGGCCCTTTAATTTTTGCCATTCCCTTTCGAGCTTTTGATTACGAAATTGAAGATCTTTACATTTCTCTTCTAGTCCCTTACACTTCTCTTCTAATCCTTTAATCCTTTGATGATTAATAATTTCATAATTTGCGTTATTACCATGTTGCATTTTTTCAGGATTAAAACTTTTTGCATCACCTAAAGCTGGTTGATATTTGAAAACTTCTTTCATTAAGTTTTGCCGTTCACTTTCGAGCTTTTGATTACGAAATTGAAGATCTTTACATTTCTCTTCTAGTCCCTTACACTTCTCTTCTAATTCTTTAATTTTTTGATAATTAGTAATTTCATTGTTTGCATTATTATCATGATGTATTGGTCCTGCGACTTGATTTTTTTCTTCGTATTGCTGCTGGATGACTTGTTTGCGATAACGATAAAACTCTTCATTTATTAAACAATGATATTTTTCATCAACAAGAATTCCTGCGACTTGTGATTCGTTGAGTTGTTTAATTAATTCAGCTGCATCGTTTGCTTGCTGATAAGATTTTTTAGGAAAAAAACTTTCAAAGTTTCCTTTTTCAATTATATAAAAATTTTTTTGTAATATCGGTATAGGTCCGTCGCTCTGGGTTAGTACCAAGTATCTGACAAATGACAAAAAATCGTATTCCATTTTTATTTTAAGTGCGAAGGAACAAAATTTCTTCAAGAGATTCGTATAATCCAAATTTTTAAGACATTTATACATACGCAAATAAACTATGTGACTATTCAGTCGATCATCAATAAACAAAAGAATGTTTAAAACATCACCAACACATAAAAATGTACATCAAACTTGTTTTTTGACTGTAACGAAATAAAATATGGACGGACTTCGACTAATTTATTATTCCCATGTCTCTTTCTATTGACAATTTTGGAAGAGATAGATATTCTTATCAAAGTTCCGGAATTATTATCTTTCAAATAATAAGAATTAATTGGAGGATTCTAATGCAGTGGTATTAATTGCATTAATTAGTACGAGTAAATATATAAAATTTATAATTCTAGGACAACAAAGCTAAGATGGCGGATAAAAATAAGCAAAAGCTTTTATTGTTATTTTACTATAAATGGTTTTTGCGTAAGGTCACTTAAAGATGATAAATATAAGTACTTGGCGCTTAAAAGAAATAAACAAATAAAGAACTTCATGCAAACTTACCAAAACTGGACGATGTTTTGCGACGGGATAATTGCCAATAATGTATATGCATGTTTTAGTGAGACATTTCTCATCGTACATTTTAATTTTTTTTTTTGGCAAAATGAAATGGGCCACTTCGTCGAATCGGGATGATTATTTTTATCGGAATGCATTGTTTTAACTTCAGTATCACCATAACACCATAATCTATATCTTCCAAAGTGATAATATGACTGTCGACAAGTATTCAACTTATTTAAAACATAATGTTCGCAAGAAATTGAAGTTGCTTATTCTAATCATTTTTATTCCTTGCCGGTTTTATCATATATGCTTTCACTACCACTCACTCCTAATTTATCTTCTCAATAGTATCTAACCCATTCACTTCTGCTGTACATCTTTTTGTTGTATAACCCTTAACCAAATTGCAAGTTTATTACAAAAATAGATACGTTTGACACATTTTCATTCGTAATATGCATTGAAAATGATTTCAGTTATGTTTATTAAAAATCACACCAGATTTATGTTCTCATGAAATTCCAGTATGTTGTCAAATAATTTTGAATTATCTTCTTTCATATAAGCTACCGCACACTTTCTACTACTCCTTATGCCCATTTTTAGCCATAATTCAATACATCCAACAGTATATTGGTCCATCTAACAAAGAATGACCCTTATTCCTTTCTAGAACAAGATGTCGTCATGTCGATTTACCATATCTGATATATAACTTTTCGAAAACATGATAATGTTTCTGACGATTTACCTTCTGGAAAAAAAGTAAACAACCACCTTCTAAACAAAATATATTGTCCGTCCCTTTAAGAATAAATGCTTCACACAAATTTACATCTGATAATTTCACAAATTGCTTTAGGCCACATCTAATCTTGAGATTATTCTATCATTACATAACAGCTGTCACTTCTATTCTGCCGCTTGAGGAACACTTGGATACGTGTTTCACCGTCATGCAAGCCTGCTAAGTCATTATACACTAAATCTGAACTTAGGTATTGATGATTCTTTTTAGATAAGAGAATTCTTTTTGAATAATTTATAGCTAAACATTGACTGATTATAGATTTTTATATAGCGCGCGCCAAAAAATCATTTGTGATACAGTGGTTAGCCAGAATCATATGCAAAAAAGTTCAACTTTTGGCTTTTAATTTTGACTTCATGTATAATGTTAATTATTATTCTTCTTCTTAGCTTGCAATATTTTGAATTCAATATTTCTGAAATATTGTATTTTTCTACTTTAACTAATGGCTATTGCTGGTAATTATAGGAAAATTCTTGAATTTCATCATTAAAATATATGATATAGAATTAATCATAATGAATTATATAAGAAATCCATCTTAATTAAACGAATTCAATGATCTATTTTTCATTCTTTGGTTTTAGTATACTGACATTTGATCTGCATTTTTCAATTTTAATAAATTTAGGCTGAAATTATGATTTTGGCCAGATTTAACAAAATTTCAGCCAGAATTATGAATTATTGATCCAATTTTTAATTATATACATTTGCTATATTGCCTGTATATATATATTTCAAGAGGATACTATATATATCACAAATTTTTTTTGCCATCTTAATACTTTTTTTTTGTAATATTTTCAGTAATTAATACTCCAGAAATTTTTTAAATATAACATAGCAGTTTTTTGGTAAATTTTACAAATATCAAAAGCATCTTTTAATATAATAATCCAAATGGTCAGCATGATGCCATTTTTATATTAAATTTAGGAGAGTAAAGATGAAAAATAATTTTTTTCAAATAAATATTCCAAAAAAGGAATAATGTAATTTTGATAAAAAAATTTTTTTTTTTAAAATATAACTTAATATAAGCTTTATCAGTATAGCCTTTAAAATTATAATTTATAAGTAATTTTAACTGCTCTACAAATTTATTTAATACCTTAAGAAAAGTTATAAATACTATTCTTAATATTTTTGATGATTTAAGACTTGGATATCAAATCTCTTTTAAGATAAGGATAAATTCACTCTATTTATTTTACTTTTAATAAAATAAATATATTGATTTTCTAATTATATATCACTGGTAAAAAAATGATTTATCCTACACATATCTTACACATATTGGGTACTCAAAATGTAGAAAATCGTACATAAATAATACACATATCATACACATATTGGGTACTAATATATATATCATACATATATCAGGTACCTGATAGGTATACTATATATATAAGTACCTGATATGTGTATGATATGTGTATTATTTGTGTATGATTTTCTACATTTTGAGTACCCGATATATGTAAGATATGTGTAGGATATGTGTAAGATAGACCATTTTTTTACCAGTGTATTCTGATATGAATTTCTAAAATTTTTTTAAAACTTTTTATATGCTAATTACTAGTGATAAAATTATAATATAATGTTAATTAATATTCATTAGATTTTTAATTTTAGCTAAAATTATAATATTTATATAATGATTATTATTATTAGTAAACTTTAGCATTATATAAAAAAAAGTTAAATTTAATTTTATTAAAAAATATACTAAATTTATAATATTTACTGGTAAAAAAATGATTTATTTTACACATGCATTTTACATATATCAGGTACTCAAAATGTAAAAAATCTTATACAAATAATATATATATCATACATATATCAGATACTTATATAGATCATATACCTATCAAAGTATCTGATATGTGTATAATATATATATAAGTACCTGATATGTGTATGATATGTGTATTATTTGTGTAAGATTTTCTACATTTTGAATACCTGATATGTGTAAGATATGTGTAGGATAGATTATTTTTTTACCAGTGATTTTCTAAAATAATTATAACTAATTTTCGCCTAAAGTGATTTAATAATTTTATACTTAAAATGATTTAATCTGATAATTTTATATAATTTACCTAGTAATATCACTTTATTTATTTAAATTTTATTGGTTAATTAATGTGTTAATCATTTTTTATATTTATTTAATTTTTTTAAATGTATTTAGATAATCTTTTTTTTAAGTTTCTTTGCTTCTTTGCATAGCTACAGTACTTAAAGTATATTTTCTTTCTTTTTTTATTTTGCTTCTTACATTTTATAGGACCCCGGATATCTCCAAAACAGGTCATAAGTCACACTTTCGGTTTAACAAAGCTGCGCTTGAATTTTATTAATTTTTGCCACAAGTTACTTTAGAGAATACCAGGTATTCAAAAAAGAACTGCAACAAAGTGCAGAACTAATCTAATACAAGAACAATAATC